ATGCTCGGCGTTTTCGCCTCGGCCCTGTGCGACGGCAACGGCGTCGTCTGCGCCGCGGCGATGGCCGTGGCCACCGACACAGCCGAGAGGCTCGCGATGCGGCGTGCCGGAGTGAAGCCAGCGCTCGTCCGCACGCGGCCGGTCTGGCTGGATCGGAAGGACCGAAAGGGAGACGCAAAGGTCGGGGACGAGGCCCGGCGGCAGTTCCTGCTGGCTCTGGACGGGACCAGTTGTCGCGTCACGGCCAGCAGTTTCTGCTTGCCCACTTTGGACGCGAACACCCTCGGAGGCCTAGAGGTTGAGAACAACACCAAGGTGTGCACCAGGGAAGATGCCCCCGATCTCAGTGACGATGGTGATATGTGGCCGAACTATCACCACCAACACCAGCATCTAGGATCACCTTCCTATGGTGGAGGCAAGCCCCCTGTTTTGGTGTTGGTGCCCAGTTCCAGGCCTCCAACACCCGTCGCGTCACGGCGTGCGATGCTCACTCGGGGCAAAGTCTGCCTGCCTGCGTCGCGCCACGGGCGTGCCCAGACGTCCGCCGGCGTGGCTCTCTCAGTCGCGGGCGCGTTGTTTTGTGATCTCGGTGTCCCGAGTGCGATCAAAAACGGGCCTGGCTGAAAATCTAACGCTCGTGTGAGACCGAGTGTGCGTGTGTGCGTGTGCGTGTGCGTGTGCGTGTGCGTGTGCGTGTGCGTGTGCGTGTGCGTGTGCGTGTGCGTGTGCGTGTGCGTGTGTGTGTGCGTGCGTGCGTGTGTGTGTGTGTGTGTGTGTGTGTGTGTGTGTGTGTGCGTGTGTGTGTGTGTGCGTGTGTGTGTGTGTGTGTGTGTGTGTGTGTGTGTGTGTGTGTGTGTGTGTTTGTCGGGACATCCAGGGGCCGCGGATCGAAGGCTCAGCCAGCGCAGATTCCCAATATATCTGCAGGCTGACATGAAGTGGATTGGAATGGGCTGAAAAAGAGTGGAACTGAGGTAAACTGGGCTGGACTGGGGTGAACTACTCCATTCGATGTGCTCTACTTTATTCTACCCGACTCTACTCTGCCATCTGCCCTACTCTACTCTGCTGCACGCTACCCTACCCACCCTGCCCTACCTTAACCTACTCTTTTCGACTCTACTCTAACTTATAATCCTCTTACCCTTCGTTACCCCACTCCTATACCCACTCTACGCTAATCTACTCTCCTCCTCTCTACTCCACTCTGCCCTACTCCACCCTGGCAGATGATACCCGGCTCTGCCCCACTCTACTCTGCTTTGCGCCGTTCTACCCGACCCAGTCTTACCATAACGTTCTCTACTCTACTATACGTTACTCTCTATTCTGCTGTACTCCACTCTACTCTACTCCTACTGCTCTGTAGCATCATCTGCTATATCGTGTGTTTCGCTCTACGTTGCCCTATGCATTACAATGTCGTATATACGCTACTCTGTTAGACTCTTCTCTACTACTCGGCTCTACCAACTCTTATCCGCAGTATACCCAGTTATGGGTTTCTTTCTCGATGTGTATTTATCAATATATGTAGATACATATCTATATAAACATATATATATATATGGATTGGTTAAATATGTTATGTGTATCCTCTACTTCGCTCTCATCTTCTCTACTCCTACTCTGCCCTATTGTATTCTGCTCTGCGCTACTCTAATTTATTATACTCTACTCCCATTGTCCTTCTATTTTACTCCTTCACTACGCCTAGTCGACCCATACTCCACTCCAATTTCCTCGATCATATTCTGGCTTATTCTTGAATTTGGCGACTGTGCAATAGCAGAGGAAGCCGTCGCCAGAGTTTTGCGCAACATATGGGGGGGTCTCAGTGGTTCAGTTCTCTATGGCTTGAGCTAGGACTCCTGTAGGCAAGCCTGTATCGACCATCGCAAAATCCGAATATATCAGAAGACTGAATTGAAGTGGGCTGGAGTGGACTGAAGTAGACTGGACTCGAGTAGACAGCGCTGGACCGGGGTGGATTCTACTCCACTCTACTCTACTCTGCTCTGCTCTACTCTACTCTACTCTATTGTACTCTACTCTACTCTTTTCTACCCGACTCCACTCTACCATCTCACATACTCTACTCGACTCGTCTCTACCTTAGTCTACCCCATCCGAAGCTAGTATATTCGGCCCTACTCTAGTATAAAGCTCGTCTATTCCACTCTACGCCTACTTTGCCCTACTTGAACCTACTCATCTCCACTCTACTCTACTCCACTCCTTTGAACGTGATTAAACCCTCTCCACTCTACTCTGCCCTGCCCTACCGTACCTAATCTACTGTACTCTCCCCTACCCTACTCTGCGCTACTCGACGCGCACTCTATCCGGCACTCCGAATACGCATGCACTACTCTAATTCGCCAGCCCAGCGGGCCAGAGGCGTACTAAAGTCTCCAGCAAGATCGAGTTTAGAAAGTTTCCAGGTCGCGCGCGCGCGCGGTCCCCGGCAAGATCCGGGCAGGTCCCCAGCAGGTCCCCGGCAGGTTTGGGTCAGAGATGCCGGAACTCCTTTAACGGGCGAAGAACGGTATAAAATAAACTTTTTCGCTGTCGGGGGCGCCTGTCCCTGGGCGGCTGGAAAATGTATACCTCTACGGTGCCACTGTAGGGGTATAAACTCTTGGGCTAAAACAGGGCTAGGATCAGGATAAATCGCTCCAGAGCGTTCCGGAACGCTCTGGAGCGGCCGCGGCGCCCGATACGTCCTCCAAACCCGCCGATTCTCAGAGATTTCGAGTTATCCCGATCCGATTTTGTCCCGATCTTCGCGTCGTTTTATGGGCGCGGTCCCGGGGGCCCCCAGGGCGCCCCAGGAGCGCTCCTCGGAGGCGCCAAATAGGTGGCAGGCCCAACGGCCCCAGGCCAAGAGCGCTTCAAGGTGGCCCAGGTTGATTTCAAGACGCCCGGGCCCGGCGAGGGCCCCGAGAAGCGAAACATTACGAAAAAACTCGGTCTCGAGTTTTTCGAGACGCCCGACATCTTGAAAATCTGCGACCGGAGCCCCGGACCCCATCTTTCTGCGTCATTTTTCGAGCCGGATCGATCTGTGAGGGTCCTGGGGCCCGAAAAACCCAGACCCCCGACGTAATGATTTTTTCATTACGTCGACCCCAGGGTTCTCGACCCCTTCCCCAGGACCGGTTTGTCATCCTGACTCGTTTTTTGACGCTCCCGAGGCCCGGTGAGGGCCCCCCGAGGCCGAAAATGGCGAAAACCCTCCCGTCATGATTGTTTCATGACTCGAGGGGGTCTGGGAAGGGCGACAGCGCCCGGCTCGAAAAGATGGAGTCGCCAGGCTCTCAGGGGAGGCGGGGCCCCCACGGGGCCGAGAGCCCGCGAAGGCCCGGCCGCGCTGGCGCGGCCCTCGCGCTCGCGGGGCGATAGCGCGCGCGGCAGGAGGCCGGGGGCGGCCCCTCGCGGGGCGCGCGCGCGGCGGGCGGCCCTGCGGCCCCCCCGCGGGGCCGCGGCGCGCTCGCCGCCCCCCGCCCCTCCCAGGCCTCGAGGCGCGCCCGGCTCCCCGAGGGCCTCCACCCTGACGCCGGATCCCTCCTCCTCCTCCTCCTCCTCCTCCTCCCTCCTCCTCCTCCATCCTCCTCCTCCCTCTCCTCCCTCCTCCTCCTCCTCCTCCTCCTCCTCCTCCTCCTCCTCCTCCTCCTCCTCGCCTCCTCCTCCTCCCTCCTCCTCCTCCTCTCCTCCTCCTCCTCTCCTCCTCCTCCTCCTCCTCCTTCCTCCTCCTCCTCCTCCTTCCTCCTCCTCCTCCTCCTCCTCCTCCTCCTCCTCCTCCTCCTCCTCCAGTGGGACCGCCGAAGAGCGACTCAAGCCGGCCTGGGACCGCCAAGAACGACACAGGACGACTCAAACTGGCTCCAGGGAAGTGGTCCAGACCCTCGTGGCCTACGTATGGGAAGCAGCTGGACGACTGGGCCCTGACTCCGGATCCGCCCTGCTCTGGGGAACTTCTTAAGCAGGGCTTGGCATTTCCGCCTTACTTTTCAGGCCCCGCGGATGCCACTTTCCGCCCGACTGTTCTGTTGCTGTTTCCGCCCCGCTTCCGTGGATCTCCGCCCTATTTTGTGCGTTGGGCGCAGCAGTTTCCGCCCCACTTTTTTCGGCTTCCTACAGGTGGATTTCCGACGCAGTTTTTCACCACCCACCAAACCACCCCAACCCAACCCGAAGGCCTCATTTTGCCCTCCATTTCCAGTGGGGGGGGGGTCCGGGAACATCGAAAAAACACATATGGAGCCCATACCCCCCCCCCAACCCGAAATTCGGGTCTTCGGGTTGGGTTGGGGTGGTCTGGTAGGCAGTCAGTTGTAGGTCGGGAAAGAAGCCAAAGGAGGGCGGATCTGGAGTCAGGGCGCCCCCGCCGCAGCGCCGGCCCCCGCGGGCCTGGGCCTCTCTCTCCCGGGCCCGGCCTTCCGCCTGCGCCCGTGGCCCGCCGGCGACCCCCCCGCGTGCGCGGGGTGTGTGTTATCTCTCTCCCTCCCTCCCTCTCTCTCTCTCTCTCTCTCTCTCCCTGTGTCTCTTTCTCTCTCTTGGTCTTTCTCTCTCTCCCTCTCCCTCTCTCTCTCCCTCTCCCTCTCTCTCCCTCTCTCCCTCTCTCTCTCTCTCTCCCTGTGTCTCTTTCTCTCTCTTGGTCTTTCTCTCTCTCCCTCTCCCTCTCTCTCCCTCTCTCCCTCTCTCTCTCTCTCTCTCCCTGTGTCTCTTTCTCTCTCTTGGTCTCTCTCTCTCCCTCTCTCCCTCTCTCTCTCTCTCGCCCTCGCTCGCTCAAGCACTCGTGGTAGTACTGTCCCCCTTCCTCCGCCTCCTCCTGCTCCTGTCTCCCTCCCCCTCTCCCCCCCGTGCCAGGAGTTTGTGCTGGGCACGGCCGGCGCCGAGGACGAGGAGGGCGGCGCGGACCCGGCGGCGCACAGGGCGGCCATGCCAGTGGCGCACGCGACGGCGGGCGCGGTGCAGCTGCCGCTGAAGTCCGCTGCGCACAAGGCTCGGGGGTTGATGAACCTCCTACCCCGACACGTCGAGTAGCGGATTGGCCCTTTTCGGCTCGCGGGAGGGCGTCGCGGCCGTCATCTTTGCGGGTCCAGGTCCCTCGGTTTCGGTCCTACAGCCGGACCAAGGTATAAGATCGAGGTCGGTTCGGGGAGGGTACCCTAGTGTTCTTCGTGTTTGTTGGATGCTCTTGTGCATCCTGGGGAGGGTACCCTTGGATGTTCTGTGTGGTTGGGCTGGCGGAGGGTCTCAAGTTCTTGAGGGATGTTCTTCTGTCCTAGGTCCGACCGTAGGCCGTTTTCGCTACATGGTGGTTTACTATAAGAGGGAGGTCTGCCCACCGCCGCAAGGCGCACGGAGCTCAGCCCCACGCGCCGGCGGCGGCCACGAGGAGCGCCAGCCTGCAGACGGGGGACAGGCCCGCCGCGCCGCCGACGGCGCAGGTTGATCAGGAGGGAACAAACCACACAGACACAACGAATCCTCGACCCCCAAGAAAAGATGGGGAAGTATGGGCATGGGGCGGGAAGACAGACACCCAGAACATATGGGAAAATATGGGGCGTCCTTTTATATGTGTGTGTGTATTTCTTTCTGTGTCCTTGTGCCCCTTGACTGAGGCCTCCGTGAAGACCCTGGGCTGCTCCGCCGCCTCGAGGGGCGCGCGCCGCGCGGCCCGCGCCGCGGCCGCGGCCGGGGCCTGAGCCGTGGCCGCCGCGGGAGCCTCGCCCCGCAAGGGGGCGCCGCACCAGCGGCCGCCCCGCCGCCCGGCCCGGCGGCGCCAGCGGCTCTCGGCGGCGCGTCGGGGGGGGGGGGGGCGGCGAGAGGGACCCAGACATCCGACGCACTGAAAACATCGAGGCGGAGGTGTTGCGCAAGTTTCGGCCCCTTGGGGCCCTCGCCGGCCCTCGGGACCGTCCGGAAACGGTGGAGGAGGAGAAGCCGATCCTGGGGAATAGGTCGAGACGCCCGGGGACCGCGCTTTGAACAAATCACGACATCGGATCTCTGGGGAGGGGGCGCCTGCCCCCCAGGCGGTTGCAAGGTTTATACCGCGACGGTGCCACGCAGGGCTATAAACTTTCCAGCCGCCCGGGGGGCAGGCGCCCCCGACGGCGGACAAGTGCATGTTATGCCGCTCTTCGCCCACCTATTCTGAGCAGTTTTGCTGGGCCTTCCCGAAGGCGCTGGAGACTTCTCAGAAGGCGCCAGGGCTTCAGAGAAGCGCCGCCGCCCTCTGAGAGGGCCTTTTCCTTCTCACCCCCCCTCGGCGCTCGCGGCCCGGCCACGGCGATCGGTGGCGGCAGCTCCTGACACCGCCGAACTAGTCGCGCCTCTATGGTGATGCTGGCCACCACTGCTAGGTGGTTGGTCGATGAGTACATGCTTTGGTTGGTGGTCGAAACGCCCACGCCAAGAAATTTGTTTGCTAATTGCCATTGCCGATTGGCCTGGTCGTGCTTTTGACTCGCACAGTGGTTGTAGGGTGTCTGTGAATGGTTCTCCCCCCATCGAGAAACCGGAATTTGGCCATGGCGACGTTGCAATTGTGGATTCCCGCACGCAACGTGATTCTTGATGTCGGCCATGTGGTTCTCGACAAGATTGCCAGGCAAGCTACAGTCTTCCAAGGTATGCTGGCCTGTTGAATCTGCGTCCAGTGGCGCATATGGCTTGTCTCATCATTGTCACCATTCTCAGCGTTCTCCTCGCCCCACACCGTCTCTTCTCCCCCCCTCTCCTCCCTACTCCTCGTTGCCCAGCTCTTGCTGCCAGGGTATCTGGAATCGAACGCGACGCCGGCTTCGGGCGCGCAGAGCGCCTCGGATGCAGACGTGGTGTGATCGCGCACGCGTGTCGCAGCACGCACTTGCTGCTGTCCTGCCTTCGCACCTAGGGGGGGCGGTAATCATCGGCCAACGATGAGCTGTTTTCAATGCTCTAATCGAAGGCGCCGACGGCGAATCCCCGCCGACCCCTGCCCTTTGAAAGAGGCTGTGTGGCCGAAAGTTGCGACCAGGGTTCGACCAAGTTACTGGACTACGCGTTAATTCCCCCCAGCCGTTGTGGAAACGGGAACATGTGGGGGAGAAAGAAGAAGAAGAAGAAGAAGAAGAGGAGAGCGAGGAAAATGGAGGAGGCGGAGAATGAGGCCTTTGGGGAGCGTTTTGGGGCACTCTTGTGGCTCCCGGGGAACTCTTGGAGGCTTCTTGGCGGCCTCCTGGGGGCTCCCTCGGGCCTCTCGGTGGCCTCTTGGGGGCTTCCCCGGGTCTCTTGGAGGCCCCTCGGAAGCCGTCTTGCGGGCCGCTCTGGGCCGACTTTGGGACCCTCTTGGCCGCCTTGAGGCCCTCTTGGGGTCGTCTTGGGGGCCCCTTGGGCTGGCTGGGGGGCATCTCGGAGGACTCTTGGGCACTCTTGGGGCCGTCTCGGTGGTTTTGGGGGCCGTCTTGTGCCGACTGCGCGCCGAAAATTGGCAATCGCCAGAATCTGATCACAACCAATGGAGTATCTTTGATTTGGGCTCCTGAGGGGCCTTTTAGGCCATCTCGACGCCGTCTCGGGCTGTCTAAGCTGCATCTCGGGCCGTCTTGGAGGCATCTTGCGGCGATCTGGGGCCCCCTCTCGGGGCCGTCCTGGCCGTCTCGGAGGCCCTGTTGCGCGTCTTCCGGATTTGTTGGGCCGTCTGGGGCCGTCTTGGGGGGCCTCTTGGGCCGCCGTTGGGGCCATCTTGCGGGCCTCGTGGGCGATCTTCGGGCGGTCCTTGAGGCTTTCTGGACCGTCTTGGGCCGTCGGAAGGCCAAAAGGGAACAAACCTCACAGTCGTTCACAACACCTTGGGGAATTCGATCATCTGTGATTCCTTGGGCCTTCTCAGAGGTTGGAGGCCTCTTGGGCCACCCTGGAGGCCTGGGGGCCTCTTAGGCCGTCTTGGACCATCTGGAGGCCAGCTTGTCTTCACTGCATCCTGGCCGTCTTGAAAACATGTTGCCGCCATTTTCGCCACGTGTGTCGTCATGGGGCCATCTTGGAATCTCTCGGGCGACCTTGGAGGCCGCTTGAGCCGTATTTGGCCTTGGGAAGGCAGAAAAGAAACACGTGACACAATGTTTCACAAACATGTGAAAATCTATGGTTTTGGCCTCTCCAGGCCTTCCTGAAGGACTTCTTGAAGGCCTCTTGGGCCGTCTGGAAGGCTGCTTGAGGGTCTCTACGGCCGTCTTGGGCCATCTTGAGGCCATCTCGGGTGCATGTCGGGCCGTCTTGGGACCTCTTTCGACCATCTTGGGCGCCCTTGGGGTCATCTTGGCCGTCTTGGAGGCCATGTCGGTGCCATCCTGAGGGAGCAGTCCAATGAAGACCGAGTCTTCCGCACGGCTGGCTGGCTGGGCCGAAGCCCACGGTGCGCTTGTCAGAAAAGGCCACAACCACTCAGAAGCCTGGTACGCCGTGCACCCCTGTGACGAATCACCGGGGGGCGGCGGATTTCCTGCGCTCTCACTAGCCCCACGGCTCGACGGACTCAGGCCGTAGCTACAGCAGCCATTGCATGTGCGCCAGGAAGATTCGGCGCCTGTGCTCCTCACGACCCTCGTATTCCATGGTGCAGTGGACCCTTGTATTGGGCCCTTCAGTGTCGGGGGTGAGAACGACGACGAAGACGGTCACGATGATGAGGAGGACAGGACGAACATGAGATGAGTCGGGCTACGAAATCTGTACACATCCTCTGCTCCCTGACCGGGCCCTTCCTGGGCCCAGGAGCTGTGCATAGGCCCTCCTGGGCAAGGCAGGAGGGCGAGACGTGTACATTGCTGCTGGGTTCAGGCGGGGCCTGGCCAAGGAGCAGCGGACATGTATAGGATTCGTCGCCCTAGGGGAGACACCAGCATCGCAAGAGGTTTTGGGGGTGATGGCCTCCTGCCAGGCATGCCCAACTAGCCTACGGTCCGTCGGGCTGGCTTGAATGCGGCGAGAGTCCAGGCATGTCTTGTAGGCGCATGACCATGTTGATGCGCGGTACTCTATGCCAGAGGGCTGCGGGTTTCGGGTCCGGTCAAGCATACCCAGCTAACCTACGGCCCGTCGGGCCGGTTTGAACGATTCGACCTTGTCGGCGAGAGTCCAGGCATACCTTGTAGGCGCATGACCACGCTCATGCGCGGGGCTCTATGCCAGAGGGCTGCGGGTGTCGAACCCCGGTGAAGCATGTCCGACTAATTTGCGGCCCGTCGGGTCGGCTCAAACGGTTTGACCCTGTCGGCGAGAGTCCAGGCATATCTTGTAGGCGCATGACCACGCTTATGCGCGGGACTATGCCAGAGGGCTGCGGCGGGTGTCGAATCCCTGACAAGCACTTCCGACTAACATGCGGTCCGTCGGCTATGCTTGACCGACTCGACGCTGTCGGTACAGATCCCAGAATGTCTGGTAGGTGTTTATGGCGTCACGGGATGAGTCTCGCGTTCGCTCCCCGACGAGAGCGGTGGGCAACATCGGGCCGGCCCTTCGCACGCGCCACCGAAGCAAATCACGTCGCTCCCGTGCACCTGCAGGCGAGTCTCTCTTGACTGGCCGACGTATGTGTTGCCATTTGGGCTCATGTGTTCGGCCGTGTTTGAGCAATGGTTGGGCGCAGATGCTGGCCCTTGGGCCGTGTGCCCTCGACGCCGCGCGGCGGCGGGTCAGCAGGGTGCTGCATTGCCGCGGCCGTCCCTCGGCTCGCGCCCGGCGCTGCGGGCGTTGCGGGCTCGAATTCGAGGAGACGCTCGGACAGGTGGCGGCGGCCGCGGGCCTCGCCGTGGACGGGGCTCGGGCCCCGCTGCAGGAGTTCGCCGGCCTGGCGGTGGCCGAGGCGCTGCTGCAAGAGCAGCGGCGGGCGCTCCGCGGCCGCCCTGGAAAGGCCACGCTGGCGGACGACCGAGCGGCGAGCGTCTCGGCCGCGCGCGAGCGGGAGTGGCGCGCGAGGCCGTTCCGCCGCCGGGGGCCGCGCGCCGGCGGGGGCACCCGCCGCGCGCGACAGTGCCGCGCAGCCGCCGGGGAGAGCCCCGGCGAGCGGGAGGCCCAAGAGCGGGCACGCTGGAGGTCGCGCCTGCTCCGCTTGCCCAGCGGGGCGGAGGCGCCGACGCTGGAGGTGGCGCGGCCCTGCGTGGACCCAGGGCGGGCGCTGGGCGGCGTCGCGGGCCGCGAGCGCTTCCGAGCAGCAGGGTCTCACGCGAGGGCGAGGCGCCGCGCCGACGGCCCTTTGAAGCAGCTGGTCGCGGACGAGGGCCTCGCCAGGTAGTGGCGCGGAGTGTCGTGGCTTCGCCTCGTCAAAGCACGGGCGGTGCCGCGCTGCGACGGCCGCGGTCGGCGCCCACTGCGGCGCTTCGAGTTCGTGGACAGCGGTCCGATGGCCGCGCTGGCGCGCGCGAAAACCAGCGGTGCAGGGCGCAAGATGCTGGAGCTGCCGCTGGCAGCATCCCGCGGGACACATCGCGAATAGAGACGGGCTTTCACCTGTGGCAGGGGATTGCGGATTTCGAGAGGGACTGCCTCTCGCCGCGGCTGTTTTCGTTTCGAGTGTTTGGTCAGAATGCCCTCCAGAAGTGGTCTGGGGTGCACCAGTATTGGAGTATGGCTGTTCCCCCTCAAATGCCAGCTACGGTATCGATGACGATCATGGTCAGGGTTATGTCCTTTCGCCGAGTTGACACTACAAAACTCGATGTGCATCTTTTGCGTGTATAGGCAAACGACTCGTTATCATCATGCCGCCACCTGGGACCCACAGGGCACCAGCCAGGGCATCGATGATGACTCGGATTAGACTCTTCAGGATCAGGATCAGGATCAGCCGCATGCGGCTGATTCGCCCGCTCCCCCTCTTAGGGTATCGATGAGGGCCAGGAGCGTGATCATCAGGATCTGGATCAGGATCATATGCGTGTAGCTGATTCGAATGCTCCTCATTTGCTGTCTCTCCAGGGGCGCCAGAAGGCGACATAAAAACCAGTTGCATGCAGCTGTTTCTCGTTTTTGCCACTCCCGTATCTCGACGAGACCCCCCCAGCTAGGGTACAGGCAGAGAACAAGCTGGGGCACCAGCCAGGGTACCAGCAACGGTACCAGCTAGGGTACCAGCCATATTACCAGCTAGTGTACCAGCTAGGGCACCCGCTAGGATACCAGCCAGAGTACCAGCCAGGGCATCAATGGGATTACCAGTACCAGCCAGGGTTCCAGCTTGGATGTCACCTAAGGCATCAGAGAAGGCGGCGATATCGATACCTCTACTATTCCCTAGTCGCTACGGCTGTTTTTGTCTCCAGCCTGGCCCTTGGATCTGGACTTGTTGCGTGCAGCCGATTCACCGACTCCCCTTTTGCTAGTTTCCCTTCTCGTCGGCCCCGACAGGGGCGCCTCCGGCGCCAGGAGGCGCCTTAGATACCAGTTGCACGCATGCATGCAGATTGCTCTAAATTACCACGACGGTCGTGTCGCTCTTGCTTCTCGACGAGAGTGGGTGTACCAGAATCGGTGGATCCCCTCGCAGCGCATGGGATCAGGTGAAGACTCGCCTGTCGGGCCACAGGGCTCTCACCGCTCGTCGCCCTCCAGGCAGATGACCCCAGGTGGTGTTGCTGAAGACCCCCACACACACTTCTCCTCATCCCATCAAGGGCTGTGACCCACTCTGAAGCGCCACTCCTGAGTTGGGGGGGATGAGGGGCCGATCGACAGGGCCTGCCCTCGCTAGTGGCCCCCATCTACAGGCTGCGAGTTGGGGCTTTCCGCCAGCAGAGGGTGTCTCACCACAGACAGACCCTTGAACTTGGAAGACCTGTCTGATGGCGGCCCGCCCGCTCGTAAATCCTATTCTCCCCTGTTCCTCCTCCTCCCCCTCCGCTCTCTTCCTGTGAGGGCTTTGGAAAGGGGGTGGTGCCATGAGCGGCCCACTGGAGTGTGCCTTCATATGGGGCCGTCTCCAGGCTTGTGCGTCACCCCGCCTACAGGGCCCCCTCCCAGTGAGAAGTCGCTTTCATTAGCCACTTGGATCCAAATCTTTTTCCGCCCCGTAGCGCAGGGAGGTTTTGGGGTCCGATAGTTCTTTGCTTTGCTCTGCTCCGCTCTCTTCGCCGAGGTCTCTCCCCGTCGCCCTCGATCCCTCCTGCCGCTCCCCCGAGTCCTGCACTCTGCCCGCCCCGTGGAGAGCCGCCAGGTCCCCAAGATAGTCAGCATCGAGGCGCAGGAGAGGATCGAGGAGGTCGCCTGCGGGGGGGGGGGGGGGGCGATGCGCAAAAAATGGGTAGGAGCAGGGGGAGGCGGAGGGGGAGGAGGAAGGAGGAGGAGGAGGGGGAGGAGGAGGAGGAGGAGGAGGGGAGGAGGAGAGGAGGAGGAGGAAGGAGGAGGAGGGGAGGGCGGAGGATGCACTTGAGTTAGAGGGCGTTGAGCCAGACTGGGCCACGGAGGTGGAGGATGTACCTGAATCAGGGCAGCTTGACCAAACGGCGGAGGGATGGAGGATGGAGGAGGAAGGAGGAGGAGGAGGGAGGAGGAGGAGGCGAGAGGAGGAGGGGGAGGAGGAGGAGGAGGAGGAGGAGGAGGCGGAGGATGCACTTGAGTTAGAGGGCGTTGAGCCAGACTGGCCACGGAGGTGGAGGATGTACCTGAATCAGGGCAGCTTGAGCCAAACGGGTCGCGGCGGAGGATGGAGGAGGAGGAGGAGGAGGAGGAGGAGGAGGAGGAGGAGGAGGAGGAGGAGGAGGAGGAACAGTGTTAAGCCAAAGCGCATCAACGGTGTTGCAATACATCCGCCTCGTAGGTCCCTACAAGAACTTGATGACATTGCGGGAAGTGGCCCATTAAAAGACAACCGTCTAAGAAGCCTCAGTCGCGCCAAAACACCATTCTTGGGACTTCGGCGCCGCGGATCAACGTGACTGCTGCGTTCTGGTAATCCTAGGCCGTCCCAAACATTCAGTTTCTGGGGCATCAGCCATACCAATCCTTGAATATGCTGCAAGCTGTTAAGACGAATGTGCGCGGTGCTACAGCCAGATCAACTGCTTGAACAAGGACCTGTCCTCCATCCTTGAAGCAATTCAAACTTGTACGGCGAATGTGCGCTGCGCTGAGGGGAGAGCCATATTTGAAAACCTCCTGCCCTCCATTAGTGAAGCTGCTTGAAACAAACTTGTAAGACGAATGTGTGGGGCGTTAAAGCGAGAGCAACACTTTGAACAGGACACGCCCCCGTCCGAGAACTTCAAGCTTCATAATCATCAATGGTGGGACAGTCTGAGGCGACGCACCCGGCCCGCCCGACCCGCCCTACCGACATGTCTGCGGGTGCGACAGGGAGGCTTTATTTGTAAGGAACCGGAATTGATGATGATGATGATGATGATGAGGAGGAGGAGGAGGAGGAGGAGGAGGAGCGGGAAGAAGTGAAGGAGGAGAAGGAGGGACAGAGAAGAAGGAGGAGGAGAAGAGCAAAAAGGGGCAGGGAGGGGATCGACGGAGGCAGCACAGAAGGAGGCAGCTGCCGCGCGCGCGCGCGAGGGTCCCTCTGCTCCCCCCCCGCGCGCGCAGCGGCCTGATCTCACCCCCCCCGGCTCGAGCCCTCGGGCCCTCGGTGCTCAAGCCTTGAGGCCCCCGCGGCCCATGGATGCCCCCGAGGCCCCTTCCCCCCTCCCGCTCGGGCTCGAGCAGGGCCTCACCCCCCCGGCTCGAGCCCTCGGGCCCTCGGTGCTCAAGCCTTGAGGCCCCCGCGGCCCATGGATGCCCCCGAGGCTCCCTCCTCCCTCCCGCTCGGGCTCGAGCAGGGCCTCACCGCACCCCGCGGCTCGAGCCCTCGGGCCCTCGGTGCTCAAGCCTTGAGGCCCCCTGCGGCCCATGGATGCCCCCGAGGCCCTCTCCCCCGCCCCGCTCGGGCTCGAGCAGGCCCTCGAGGTGATAGTCAGGCACGCTGGCTTGGCGTGTCGCGGCGCCCTGTGCTGGCCCAACACGCGTCGGCGCGGCACGCTGAACGCACGTCTGTGCCCGCGTTGCCTCTCCACGGCGAAGCCGACGGCGCAGAGGAAGGCTGAGATGCGCCAGGGGGCGGCGGCGGAGGCGGCTGGCAAGCAGGTGGTCCTCCTCCTCCTCCTCCTCGTCCTCCTCCTCCTCCTCCTTCTCCTCCGCCTCCTCCTCCTCCTCCTCGTGCCCCGAGGGTGGGGGCCTGGCACCTGTTCTCATGGTGTCAGCGCCACACACACTCCTCGGGGCACACTGTCAGTGTCAATTGCACGCGGCGGCTGGGGCAGATAAACCGGCTTTCGTCGTTCTTGCACCAGCTGGCGTCCGAGGCGCATCGGCCTGACGACGGCGGGTCGTCGCCATCAGCTCGCAAGGGGCAGCGCGTCGCTGGGGCCAAGGCTCTGTTTTTCGGACCGCTCCTCAGATTTAGGTCGAGGGGGGGCCCAGTCGTGGCCGAGGCTCGCCGTGGCCAGAGAAGCTCCTTCGTGCCTTGTTCAGCGTTCCGTGCGGCAGCACGATGGTTTCCAGGCGAGGCCTGGTCGCTCCATTGCGTTCCAGGACATTCCCCGATGGTTCTGGAGCGCTCCAAACCCGCCGACTCGTATATTCCCGAAGCCGTCGTCCGGGTTTGTCCTCATCCTGCCTTCTTTTTGGGGTTCGGTCCGAGCCTCGACAACTCCTCGGGGTGGTCCTAGAGGGGAGGGTCATGCCAGGGATACTATGAGTCCTGCGGGGGATCCAGGAGGTGGTTCTTAAGAAACTAAAGAGAAAGGGGAAGAATAGTGCCATGCCCAAGGCCATGAAATCTCCCAGATATCGCGATCCCCGGTTTTTGCTGTCAAGGCGTTCCCTGCGCCCCCCCCCGTCCGGGCGAGAAGCCTCGGGCCCCCAGTCCTTCAACCCGTCCCCCTGCCCGAGTCCTGCTTCCCGCTCCCTCCCGCAGGGGGTCTGCTTCGAGCGCGAGGCTGCGCAGCAGCGCGCGGTCGCCTTCGCAGCGTTGGACATCGACCTCCCCTCCCTGGGCGCCGCGCCGACCGCACAGCAGACCTGGGCGATGTACGGCCGGGTCGCCAGCGCGTGGTACTTGTGATATATGGTTCACTTGTTGTTTTTGTGGTGTGTGTGTGTGTGTGAGTGCGTGTGTGTCATGTGTCGGAAGTGCCCTACCAGGCCAATGAGGAGCAGGAGCCATTCCCTGAGGATGGCTGCGAGGTGCGAGATCGCCTGCGCAAGCAGGGGCTGCAGGCGCACCACCAGCCGTGCCACGGACACTTGCCTGCGCCGCGTTCCTGTACTTGGCCAGCTTATGGGTGGACATGTCCGCAGGGGCTCGGCCAGCGTCCAGGTGTCGGAGGTGCACTTGAGGGCGCGCCAGAGCAAGCCGAAGGACGCGCGTGCGGCCACGAGGTGCGTGGCACGTGGCATGGGCAGCCAAACGAGCCCCCGCCGAACCATGGGAGGATCGCTGCAGGTCCCAGGATCTATCAGGAAGCTTGCGGCGGAGCGGGCCTCGCGGCCCCACGTCGCCAGCCATGACACGGCCGAGCTGGCTGGTGGTGTCGCCGGGTGCTTGCGATGCTACAAGTTCACGAAGCCCGAGCTGCCGCCGAAGACGCCGATGTGCACGCCGTGCGGCCCGCCGACCCTCGGCGCGAGGCAAGGTGTCGAGAAACACGTCCTCGCCACGTGGCGTGCCGTCTGCGGGCCACTGCCGTCGGAGCGGGGCCAATCGTGTTTCACCCAGGCTCCGACGCCCGCGTCCGGGTCTTGCCGTGCAGCGCGCGTTGTGGGGAGTTGGGCGGCAGCAAGCAGTTGCAGATAGGTGCCCGCCCGATCTCCAAGGTTGCACGCGACGTGCCGGTTGCATGCCCTTTCCGCCCCAGTTTTGCTGCGTGGCCAGTCGACGGCGGCATGGTAAGCTCGACTGGAGGGTCCTGCCGAGGAGCCCCCGTCGGGGGAATGGTCGGGGGTCGTTTGGGAGGTTGTCTTACAGAAGCGCCTCTCATCGTGTTCGTGGGCCTCTTGCGCTTCATTTGACAGGGCCCTCGTGCTGTTGGCCTGCCACGGCGCCAACGTCGACTCGGCCGTTGTCACTGGCGGCATCCTTTGAGGGGCTGGGCCTGCCAGCCCAGGCTGGTACGAGGTTCGGGGAAGTCCTGGCCCAAAGGGGGCTTTGGCGGGCCAGCGCCCACAGCGCCCACAGCGCCGGTGGGGGCCCGACGGTGCGGGCAGGCCACCAACGCCAGGAAGATGGCCCAAGGCGGCCCGAGATGGCCCCGAGGCAGCCCAAGATTGCCTCACGACGGCCCAGTAGGCCCCCAAGACGGCCCAAGTGGTCCCCAAGATTGCCCAAGACGGCCCAGGATGACCCAAAATGGTTACATAGTGGCCCAAGGTGGCTTCAAGGTGGGCCCAAGGAGGCCCTTCAAGACGGCCCGAGAGGGCCACAACAAGAGGACCAGCAGGGCCAGGATCCCCAGCAGGCCCGCCGCCGTCGGCGGGCGCAGCCAGCGCGCGGATAGCCGACTGCAGCGCGCCTCGGCCTGCGCCGGCCGCGTTTCCCGGACTTCCAACGTGTTGGAGCAAGCGAGACGGAGATTTTTCGTCGTTTTCGGTGCTTGGGGCCCTCGCCCAGGACCGTCATCAAAACCGATCCGGGACGAAGGAATGGTCCCGGAAGTGGTCTTGGTTCAGCAAGCTTGGCAAGCCTGGCGCATGGGAGAGACTGCCGTCGCGCCTACGCGCGCCATTCCGAGTACAAGGCCGCGGAGGGGCCGCACGCGCTGCGGCAAGAGGATGGTCGAACGGATAGGGTGCGGGAGCAGCCTGTGGAGGCCAGGGGCTCTACGAGTGTGGTTTGCCCGGACCGCGTCGGTCCTCCTTGTTCTCCTCCTCGGCCTCCTCCTCCTCCTCCTCCTCCTCCTCCTCCTCCTCCTCCTCCTCCTCCTCCTCCTTCCCCCCCTCCTCCTCCCTCCACTCCTCCTCCTCCTCCTCCTCCTCCTCCTTCTCCTCCCCTCCTCCTCCTCCTCCCCCTCCTCCTCCCTCCTGTCCTCCTCCTCCCTCCTCCTCCTCCTCCTCCTCCTCCTCCTCCTCCCCCTCCCCTCCTCCTCCTCTCCTCCTCCTCCTCCCCTCCTCCCGCGAGCGCCACTCGCCCGTGTCCCGCTCCGAGAACGGAGCAGGGCGACCTCGCGCCTGCCACAGGAAAGGCCCCCGCGGCCCCTCGGACTGCGCCGTGGCCATATGAACCCAGGCCCCGTCGCGGGCCGCGTGGCGCGCCGCGGGAGAACCTTCCCCCCCCTCCCCCCCTCCCTCCTTCTTCCCTCCTCCTCCTCCTCCTCCTCCTCCTCCTCCACTCCTCCTCCTCCTCCTCCTCCTCCTGTCCTCCTCCTCCTCCTGTCCTCCTCCTCCTCCTCCTCGCCCTCCTCCTCCTCCTCCTGCGAGCACCACTCGCCCGTGTCCCGCTCCGAGAGCAGAGCAGGGCGACCTCGCGCCTGCCACAGGAAAGGCCCCCGCGGCCCCTCGGACTGCGCCGTGGCTACGGTAGGTTCGCGTCGTGTCGATCGGCGGCGACCCCGCCGCCGACGTTCAACGTTGAACGCCGACGGCGGCCCAGAATCGGTCGATGTTGAACGATCGGACGTTGCGGAGACGGCCGATCGTTCAAGGTTGAACGATCCAGCGCGGTGTCAGGAACCAACGCCAGGGTCGACACGGCACGGACCTGCAGTATATGAACCCAGGCCCCGTCGCGGGCCGCGTGGCGCGCCGCGGAAGAACCTTCCCCCCCCCTCCCCCTTTCCCCTCCCTCCTTCCGCTCCTTCCCTCCGCTCCCTCCCCTGGCTCCGGATCCGCCCTGCGTTGGGCAAGTTCGTAGGTAGGGCGTGGAATATGCGCCCTACTTTTCAAGCCCCGCTGATGCCAATTTCCGCCGTGCTTTTCTGTTGTTGTTTCCGCCCTACTTCTGTGGATTCCCGCCCTAATTTATGTTGGGTGCAGAAATTTCAGCCCTACTTGTGCGGCTTCTCATGGGTGGATTTCCGACGCAATTTTGAGTTGGAACAAAACAACCAAAGTAGGGCGGATCTGGAGTTAGGGCTCCACCAAGGGGGAGATGATCCCGATCTCTGCGAGATGGTGGTGATATTCTTGCTTCCTGGGCGGCCGGAGTGCTGCCCCCAACACCGAGATCTGTGATCATCCTCCTCCAGTGGGCGCACCCCCCTGTTTTGGTGTTGGTGCCCATGTCGAAGCCCCCAAAGTAAGGCGGATCTGGAGTCAGGGTCCCTTCAGTCGGAGGGCACCAACTATACACCAACACCGATCCTGGCCCAGGATCACCCTGGGCCCAGGATCGGTGTATACGCCTGCTTGCGCAAGGCAGGAGGGCGTATACACCGATCCTGGGCCCAGGGTGATCCTGGGCCAGGATCGGTGTTGGTGTATAGTTGGCGCCTTCCTATTCAGCAGACGGCGGCATGCGGGGGGGGCGGTTCTCGCCGCCGGCGGGCGAGCACACCGCGAACGCGCGGCCGGCCGCGCGCGCCTGCCAGGTGCCGTTCACGCTGCAGCAGGAGCGCGCCGTCGAGGTGGAGCAGGTGCAGGCACGGCCTGCCCTGCTCGAAGTGCAACTCGGTGTCGTCGTCGTCGTCGTCGTCGTCGACGCTCCTCGTTTTTCCTCCTCCCCCTGCTTCTCCTCCCGTGCCCATCCTCGTCGCCACGCTCTTCGTCCACCTCTTCCTGTGGATCTTCGCATCAAGCAGTATGTGTAGCGCAGCTGACGGCGCCGCGTTTGGCTCGCTTCCTCGTATCCTGTTGCGTCTTGTCATCTTATGCCTTGCCGTGCCTTGCCTTGCCTTGTTTTCTCTTGTTTGATATGGTTTTGCCTTGTCATGTGTTGTCATGTCTTGTCCTGTCTTGTCTAGTCTCGTTTTGTCTTGTCATGTATTGTTTTGTTATCATCAGGTTCCTTTTCCTCCTCCTCCTCCTCATCATCCTCATCCTCCTCCTCCTCCTCCTCCTCCCCTCGTTCCTCCACCCCTTCTTCTCCTCCGCCTCCGCTTCCCTGCTCTCGGCATCTCCTGGAGGAGGAGGAGGAGGAGGAGGAGGAGGAGGAGGAGGGCGGAGGAAAGCAGGGAATATGAAACGGTGGGAGGAGGATTGACGATGAGGGCGAGGGAGCTCATCCAGGAGCGCGGAGGAAAGCAGGGAATGATAAACGGTGGGAGGAGGATGGGCGATGAGGGCGGTGGTGGTGATAGTGTGGTGCTCACAGGACATAACATAAAGTATGTGGGGTTACTCGGTAGCGTAATGCTTATCTTGTTGTTTCTAGCTTTTTTTCCCAGGGACTACTCCATTGACAAGCGATGTGCTTTCCAGCTTTTCCCGCTTGCCTAGCTTTTCCCACAGACGATGTATTGAACAAAAACTGTAGTTTCCAATGTGTCCTGCTTTTCCTCTTGTTCCCAGAGGCTACCCAATGGTAAAACGATGTGTTTTCAATGCATTTCCTGCTTTTTTCCAGCTCTTCCCAGAGATTACCTCATTGTAAAACGCTCTGTGTTCATGCTTTTCATGCTTTCCGAGCTTTTCCCATTGACTACACAGCAGGGTAATGTGTGGGACAAAATGGAAAAGCTGGAGAACGCATAGTTGTCCATCGTTTTTCAATGAGGCAGTCTCTGGGAAAGGAGGAAAAGCTGGAAAACATAGCGTTGTGTTAATGGTGTAGTCTCTAGAAAAAGCTGAACAACAAAAGGACGAGCATACAACACATAACATAACGTTTTCGATGAGGTAGTTTCCGGAAAGAGCTGGACAAGCAGGAAAAGCTGGAAACCAAAGCGTTTTTCAACCGGGTAGTCTCTTGGGAAAAGCTGGGGAAAGCAAGGGAAGCAGGACAACACAGCGTTTTTCAATGGGGGTAGTCTCTGGGAAAAGCTGGAAAAGCAGGAACAGCTGGAAAACACCGCGCTTTTCAATGGGATAGTCTCTGGGAAAAGCAGGAAAAGCTGGAAAGCACAACGTTTTTCAATGGGCAGTCTCCAGGAAGAGTTGGAAAAGCTGGAAAAGCACGAACACACTTCATTTTTCAATGGTTTCGTTGTGGCGAAAGCTGGAAAAGGTGGAAAAGCTGGAAAGCAGTGTTTTTCATTGGGGTGGTCTTTGGGAAAAGCTGGGAGGAGGAGGAGGAGGAGGAGGAGGAGGAGGAGGAGGACGACGACGAGCAAACAATAAGTGAAGGTTTTGTTAGTTTTGTGGTTTGGGGCTGGGGGGGGGTGACCATCTCTCTCTCTCTCTCTCTCTGTCTATATATATATATATGCATATGTATATATATATATACATATATATACTGTGTATATATATATATACACGTACATGCATACATACATGCATACATACATATGTTTTTGTTTGCAAACGTATGCTTCTTTAGTTGTATGTATAAGAACACGCCCAGTGCGTTTATAAGAAGGACCAGCCTTGCAATGCATCCAAACATCGTAGATGCGTTGGATGCCATCGCGCTCTGGCAAAGGCGAGAAGCTTTTCTGCAACGACGACAATCTATACATATATATATATATATATATATATATATATATATATATGTGTATTAGACGCGCGCCCCCCGGCCTGCACGGGGGGGCCTGGAGGGGTGCGCCGCCGTATCTAAACGTATATGTTTCAAGCTGATCTCAAATATTGCGGCCATTTTTTGTTCCAGAAAACCTATCGATCCGTATTCAATTTTCTAACCATGGCATTTCCGCGCCGTATCTGATTTTGTCAGAGCGGATGCTGTTGGTTGTGCTCTCGGAGCAAACAGGATTTACGATGCTGGTCGAATCAATGAGCAATGGGATCGGGGATAGTGGAGACAGGGAAGCCGTGGCGATGAGGAGCGAGAAAACGAGCGACGACGACAAGGACGACGAGGAGTAGGATGACAACATCGACGAAACGAGATGCAGGAGAGAATCCGGAAGGAACAGGGAACCCTAGGAGGGGAAAAGCACAGAGGAGGAGAAGGCGGAGGACGAGGACGAGGAGGACGCGTCAAATCGAAAGCGACAGGGGTGGCGCGGGCAAAGCGAAGAGAAGATGAGCACCGAAGAGGGCGGATGAGGAGGATCCAAGAGGACTGAGGAGCGAGAGTGGTCGGTCGCGGGCGTGCGCAAAGGATTCGAGGACGATCGCGACGGCAGCAATGGGGATGACGAGGAGCACGAGGGTGGCCGTTGCGGGGGGGCGCCGGGGAGGTTGACGAAAATTGAGAGTCAAACACGGGGTTCCTGATGGCGAACTTGGGGGGAGCACGGGGGAGTAGGAGGAGGAGGAGGAGGAGGAGGAGAAAGCAGGGGACGAATCAGAGGCGCGAGGGGAGATCTGGGCGCACAAGGGTCATGATGTGGAGGCATGGGGAGGAGTGCCTTGGACGATGCGCGCGGACGAGGGGGAAGATGAGGGCGCGCGGCGAGGAGGCAAGAAGAGCCAGGTGGATGGAGTTGGAGGGGGCGCCAGGAGGAGAACCTGGAAGAGGGGGCAGCCAGGGCGGAGATGAAGTGGAGCAGTGATCGAAGACAACGGCTCCTCTGCTCCGTCCTCCTCGTCACCGTGACCGCTCGGCTCGCCCGCCTCCCCCCGATCCCGTCGGCTCGCCATGGTTTCCTCTCCCTCCTCCTAGACATGTCGTCCTGACTGGCATGTGCACTGTCTTCCCCGTTCGCAGTCATTGAGAGGCCTCGGCATGGCAGCGGTATGGCGCCGTATCTATTCGTGTCTATCTGTGGTAGGCATGTTTTTTTTGTTTGTCCAGCGGTGGGCGCCATATTGAGCCGTATCTAAACACAGCTAAACATATCTAGTCGCACCTAAAAACGTTGTACAATCAATAATAGCACATCAACCCCAGATCTGTCAAGTAGGCACCCGTATTTAAACTTATACATGTTTTGAAGGGTATCTGATTGGTGTAAGGAAAACGCTGCAAAACACCATGCTTCAGAGAGGAATGTTAGATGCCGCGCGGCCCTTCCGAATGCAGCTGCCGCCAGGGAAATAAGCAACCAACGTAGATGTGTTGAGATGTATTCCAGGGAGGTTGCCGAAGGCAATTCAGCGGGACTTCGGTTGGCGAGCCGCATCACCCAGACATCCGACGTCTCGATTTTTTCGAGACGCGGGCCCCCGACCTCCCGACCACTTCCCTGGGACCGGTTTTTCATCCCGAGTCGTTTTTTGACGGTCCCGAGGCCCGGCGAGGGCCCCGAGAGGCCAAAAACTATGAAAAACCTCTGCCTCGATTTTTTCGAGACGCCCGATGTCTGGGCAGGCAGATCAGGAACATGCCGCCCTGCGGCGAGATCTCTCGCGCGGCGCGCCCTGCGCCGGCGCGCGCCAGAGGCAGCTGCCCGCGAGGCGAGGCGCGGCGCGCTCGCCGAGTTCACGGCATCCGCGGTCTACCGCGGGAGAGCGGCGCGCCCGAGCTGCGCGAGGCCGACCAGGTGTCGGAGGCCGCTCGGCTCGAGCAGAGCAGTCTCAGACATCGGGCGTCTCGAAAAAATCGGGACAGAGGTTTTCCATACTTTTGGGCCTCTCGGGGCCCTCGCCGGGCCTCGGGAGCGTCAAAAAACGCCTCGCGGGATGAAAAACCGGTCCCAGGGAAGTGGTCGGGAGGTGGGGGGCCCGCGTCTCGAAAAAATCGAGACGTCGGATGTCTGGGTACTCTCGAAATCCCAGGCGATGGCCCTGATCTCAGGCTGGAACAGACCATTCTCTAGTTACTCTCGAAATCCCAGGCGACGGCCCCGCTCTCAGGTCGCTCCCCCCCTCTCGGCCGCCCCGCGCCGCGGCGCGCGCGGCGCCGGTGGGGGGGGGGGCGCCCCGGCACTTCATGGCGCGGGCGCGCGCGGCCCCGCGGAGCCCGCGCGCTGGCGCGGCGTGTCCCGGCCGGCGCGCGCGCGCGGCGCTCGCGGGGCGCCAGCCTGCCGACTGGAGCCGCGATGCCTCCGGTCCGTCACCACATGGTTTGGGGGCCCTCCCCCTCCTCCTCCGAGCCTCCTCCTCCTCTCTCCTCCTCCTCCTCCTCCTCCTCCTCCTCCTCCTCCTCCTCCTCCTCCTCCTTCCTCCCTCCTCCTCCTCCTCCTCCTCCTCTCCTCCTCCTCCTCCTCCTCCTCCTCCTCCTCCTCCTCCTCCTCCTCCTCCTCCTCCTCCTCCTCCTCCTGGAGCGACGAGCGTCCCGAGCCCGAGCCCTGCGCGCTGCCAGCGGGGGGGGGGGCGCGTCCGCCGACGCGAGCGGCGCCCGCGGCTAGGGGGGGCCGCGTGCGAACCCTGCCCCCCCTGCCCCCCACGATTTTCGAGGAGGGGGGGGGGGTCACTTCGCTCCCCAGACATCGGGCGTCTCGAAAAAATCGAGACAGAGGTTTTTCATAGTTTTTGGCCTCTCGGGGCCCTCGCCGGGCCTCGGGAGCGTCAAAAAACGACTCAGGATGACAAACCGGTCCCGGGGAATGGGTCCGGACCTCGGGGGCCCGCGTCTCGAAAAAATCATGACGTCGGGGGTCTGGGTCGGGAGCTCCCGAGCGAAGTGAGCCCC